TAGGGACCAGAGGTTTAGACAGAGACCAGAGATTTAGATAGGAACCAGAGGTTTAGATAAGGACCAGAGGTTTAGACAGGGACCAGAGGTTTAGACAGGGACCAGAGGTTTAGATAGGGACCAGAGGTTTGCTGGGCAGTGTAGGAAGTCGAAGTCAAGTTTGTGATTGTGATCAGGAATTTAAATGAAAACCGTCTCTGTGGTTATGGGAGTGGGAAAAGCGAGGAGAGAGAAGGTGTGTGAGATACGGCACAGGTCATCTACATGGACATTGATGTCACTGGAGTGATGACGGAAGCTGGGGGTGGGGAGAAGACAGGGGCAACTGTGTGATAAATGCTAGTTGGTGGTGGTGGTCTTACTTTTTCTGTTGCAATCTCATTTGAATCCTTTGGATGTCCCCTGTCCAGCCTCGCAGAGAAGGAAAAGGAAGAGTGGGTACCAAGAGAGCATTACTGGACCTTGCCCTCAGGAGCTTACAACTGTATTGGAAATGTAAGACCTAAACAGTAGAGCCCCTGTCAGTCGACCACCCAAGGACTACAACAAACTGTCAACGTACAGAGGTGGTCAGGATGAGGAGCCAGGTCTTTAGTGCTGATATGTACGTGTGGTGCATGTACAGTCCACAGAAATTAGGTCAACTTAAGGAGGTGGTTGATGTGGGCAGGTGGTGAGCTATGGAGGTTCTTCTGTATAAGAACACAGCAATGAGAGAATGGCAGACCACTGCAAGGAGCCAGATGTGCCAGTCAGACAGGAGCATGCCCTGGAAGGAGGAGGGGGGATGGGGGCTTTCTGATAGGGTGAAGGAAGGAAAACTTGGCCCAGCCTTCAGATGGTCCAGTAAGTTTTAGCTAGAACAGAGAAGAGTAATGGACTTTGGTTTTAAAAAATGAAACAAACTGGTTTAGATTTAGAATTGGCAACCTCACTCCTGTTTCTAAGAAGTTGTCTGAATGATCTAGAAATATCCTTTGCTTGAAAGCACTCTGCAGGGTGGTGATGCCTGCTCTGAGTCACCACTTGTTGTTAGGCTGGGGTAGGAATCTTCTACCAGAGACGTGGAAACATGATAACTTGCTAATTTGCCCTGAGAGAATGAGGAAAAAATGATTTTTTTATGCAGGTTGCCATGGTGCTTGGAGGAATTAAAAAGATGTCTAATTGAAATCCTCTGCATTTCTCTTCTCTTCCTACTAGAACGTCGGGAAGGTCATCACCAAAGGATGCCGCTACGTGGTTATCGGCCTGCAGGGATTCGCTGCGGCCTATGCCGCGCCATTTGGAGTCGCTACCAGCGTGGTTTCCTTTGTGCGCTAATGATCGGGAGCTGCTTGGGCAGGCACTACGGAATGAACGGAGCCTCTGCCCTGGAAACAATGTGGACCCAGGAGCATTTCAGACTTGAACTCACAGCACCCTTAGAAGAGAAAAAATGTCTGTCTTTGTAGAATGGGATGAGGATTATGAATGAGTCATCCCTACCTATCTGTTGACCTCTCAGACACATGTGGACCCATTGGTCAGTCCCTGCAGAGAATGCCTTGGAGGTCAGGTTTGGGATTTGAGTTGGTCTGCTAAAGCCTGAGCCTTTGGGTGCAGGTGGCTGGTGTTGGATGGAAGAAAACACTTGCCAGATTTGAGCGGTATGGGCGGGAAGCAGAGTGGTGAATTTGAGGGGGAGGGAAGGATGTTGACCTCAGATGATCTGCTGTATTCTCCTGGAAAGGTCATGGGTCTCTGTTCTGAGGGCAGCTCAGGAGCTATTTCCCCACTTGTGCTCCCCTGTCTTATTCCTCTGCCACTCTGTCACCAGGAGTTTAATTATAGGCTTAAGAAGAAGGAAGAGAGACAGACCTCTTTGAAGGCTATGATGCTTTGAAAACCGTGTTGACGTGTTCATGACTGTGTTAAGTAGATAAAAGCTCGTCATTTCTCCCCATCTTTGCAGGGCTGTGCAGCTGACGAGGAGGGAGGAGGAGGGCCAAGTTCAGATGCAGGCTGGGTAGCTGGGACAGATTGGCTGAGGGACTGCCCCCAGGGGCTGTGGTGCCGGGTTTGGCCCAGAGTCCCCTGCAAGTGTCAGCTGGCTTCAGCCGGGACTCCTGGCAGCATCTGTCCACTGCCAACAGCTGCTCAACTCCCCTTCTGCACCAGGAGCTGAGAGAGATAGGGAGGGAGGGAGATGCAACATCTGGGAATGAAAGTATGTATGGGTTTAGAGAAGGAACCAGTAAGTAGGAGACGAGTGTGAGGAAGTGGAAACAGGACAGGACATGTGGAGAGAGAAGTGGCAGTACAGGACGCAGGTCTGGAGCGTCACTGTTGAGGACCTTCAGGGGGCTCGGCCTGTGCATCTAGGTAGGGTCAGGGGAGCCTAGGTGGCCAGAAGGGACATGGCTGGTGCTTCAAAGCCCGAGCTCTGTGCTCACGGGGCAGCCTTGAGCATCCCTTTCTCATCTGTGCTGCCCACTTTGACCTCATTTCACCTGAATTCAAAGGTTAGCATGGTGGGGGTCCCAGGCCTGGTACCCTCCAGGGATGACCCGTGGACTGCCACTGGAGGCAGGACAGGGAGATGAAAGAAAGAACAGTTTCTCCACACCATGCTCCTCTGAAGGGCACTGCTCTGACTTTATTTCCAGGATATCCAGAAGTCCAAAGTGATGGATGCTGACCAGTGTTCAGGGTCAGTGGCAGCACCTACCTGTTACCGCAGGAGGTTTCCCAGGGCGTGCGGGGGAGGCCCCGATACTCCTGCTTCTTGCATCAAGCCCACCTGTAATAGAAGGCGTTGGGAGGTGGAGAAGGTAGCGAGACTGACACATGGACAGAAAAAGGACTGGGTGAAGGAGAAGGTGGTATTAATAGCTGTGGAGCTAGACTTAGCTTCAGTTTTTGAAGCTTCAACTTCATGTTGAAGAGAAGCTAGGACCCAATTCTTGCGTCATTAATACTTGTGAGGAAAAGAGAAAGCGAGTGATCTCCTTTTAGCACAGTGATGAAAGCTGATAGTGGCCCATGCTCACACATGTGGGGTAGTTATAGCCTGAAAAGGAGAGATGTAAATGGCAGAAACCAACACAGTTAGAGGGAAAGATAGTCAGCACCTGTGGGGGCTGCTGGTCCCAGGAGATGAAGACAGCAGGCTTGGGGGACACCCTCCCTGTGAGTCTGCAGATTCCTGGTGGAGAATGGACGGGAGGCCCAGGAAGGGACCAGAGCTGCTAAGGTCTGTTCCTTGCCAGGGAGTCTGTCCAAAAAAATAGCTTCCTCACTCCACCCTACCCCACATTGGAAAAACTATAAGGTCAAGCACATTTGGCCTTGAAATCTTTAAAGTCTGGTTAAGAATTAACTCAGGAATGTTGAAAGTCAAATCTTTGCAGGGATTGTCCTGGAGTCAGGTTCATGGGTACAGAAGATGAACTTCAACCTGTCTCTGGACCTGAGCCATCCTTTCTCCTGTGAGACGCCTGTGTTTTTCTCTTACTCTGTTCTTTGAGCTTAGAACTTGGGTCCTGTTGCTGTTTACCTTTTTAGCTTTTCTTTCTGTTTAATTTTTTAAAATTGTTTATTTCATTGCCCCGCCCGCTGAGAATTGAGTTATAGAGCTTTCCCATTACATACTTGGCTGAGAGGCTTCTTTTGTATCCTTTTTTTTGTCCTATTGTGTAAATAAAAGCCCCATTTATTTAATGTTTCTGTGTGTGACAGGTTTTTTCCCCCTCACTTTTTGGCCTCGCCTGAGGGAGATTCTAAGGCTGCCAAGTTGGTACTGCAGGTGGTGGCAGGTGGCCAGAGAGACCCCCCCTTGGGAACCAGTAGTAGCCTGGGGGCTGCTCAGCAAGGACAGAGTGGGGACAGGGTCCCGACTCCCCTGGGAACTCTAGTTAGGTGTTAAAGGGGGGCAGTTCTCTAGAAGCCGGGCACAACTGGCTCTAGCAGTGTGCAGGAGTCTCAGCTGGAGTGCCTTAAAAATGAAAATTTCTAAAACTTCCAACTCTGGTGTAGACTCTAGCATGGGGCTGCGAAGCTGAATTTTTCACAGGCAGCTAAGATTCTGATGCAGGTGGTTTTCTCTGCCTCTGCAGGGAAGCAGTGGGCACCAGGGGCCTGCCCCGCAGGGCGTCTGCCTTTGGGGCTGCAAAGTTAGGGACTGGGCCTGGGGACTCTGCCAGTGTCTAACAGACTGTATTAACTCTATGATGCCATCACCTCCACAATGTTTTGAACTTTAATAGAGCTCCCTGTAAGCTTATTTTATAATACAATATATATACAAAGTTAAAGGTTTAAAAAAAAAAAAAAAGCCCCAGCATCCTTGCAAAGGCTGCATTTGAGAGGCTCCCCGGTTTCGCCAAAAACTCAGATGGTTCCAGGGTTTAAAAAACTCTATCTCCCTTGACCATTCAGGAAGAAATGTGGGGAAATAAACAGTATGTACTATGAGTTTGTATGTGTGTTTTCTAGAGGCAATATTGTTTTTTTTT